TGTAGGAAGGAAGGGAGCAGGAAGGAGGGAAGGGAGTTGGATGTGGGCACTCATATCTTTTAATAATAATTGTCATCATGTTGAGAGACCAATCTCAAATCCTTTCAAACAGAGAAATCAAGACACAAAGTTGAAAATTTTAAATTCAAAACTCATATCCCTCATTTTAGAAATTGAATGATACACACTCATATCTTTTTTTGATAATTTTCATTTGTACAGATAGCAATCTCCTTTCCTTTCAAACAGAGAAATCAAGACACACACTTGAAAATTTTCAAATTTGAAACTCATATTCCTCTTTTTAGGAATTGAATGATACCCATTCATATCTTTTTTGATATTTATCATTATGTACAGATAGCAATCTCATATCCTTTCAAACAGAGAAATCAAGACACACACCTGAAAATTTTCAAATTCAAAACTCATATCCCTCTTTTTAGGAATTGAATGATACACACTCATATCTTTTTTTGATATTTTTCATTACATATCATATCTTTTAAAACAATATCCTTAAAATATCCTTTCAAATCCTTTTAAACAAAAAATATTTTATATACATATTAAAGTTTCTGAGAAAAAAGGTCATTAACAATTTTTTTTTCTTATATTTTTCCTTGCTTTATGGTTAAAAATATTAGTTAATTTACATGAAAATGTACTTTTTATATCCTTTTAGACTATTGTTTCTTAAGATATACATGATTATTTTTTCAAAAAAAGGCTTTTTATACAAACACTAAACAGGCTGGGGAGGGGGGGGGGTTCTTGCTTTTTTGTCCTAGCACTTTCATTTTTGACAATATCACCATGAATTTTTACTTTTAATAAATAGAAATTTAAAGGATTTTTCAATTTTTTTTTGTATGCATAGGGTAGGCGTCTGGTCTGGGTAAAAGAAAAATTTTAAAAAGCCCATGCTTTTATGACTAAAGCTTCAGATCCAATGAGCAGACCTAGAAAAATTAGGTTATGCATGTGCATTTCAACCCTATACCTTTTCTCTAAGGCCTTTTTTCAATACATTGATTCAGACCCCCAATCTTTATATGGTTAATAAAAAATTATTTAGAAATATAATATAAAAAGGGTACAGAACAATGAATAAGGCAGTAAAAAATAGCAGTCTGATATTGATGTGCTGTATGTAAATTGGACTATGAACATTAAATAAATATATTTTAGCCTGCTAGCCTCTAAGGCCCTTTTAGGGGGGGGGGAGGGCTATACAGACACTCCAGCCTTTTTAGGGTCAAAGCCATGGTTAAATGTTAACATGTAGTATTATGCTTGTTCAGAAAAATTCTGATATCCACTTTTTTACATGCTTCTTTGTGTATGTAAAAGAATTTTCTAGTCTTGATCTTCACAGATTATTTGAAGTAATCTAGTATGTAATACTAAGTCAAGCCACACCTTGTTTTTTATTTCAGCAGTTAATTGGACTATTTTTTTCCTAATTATGTATCATTAATATTTCTGATTAGGGGCTCTTACATCTGTTCTACTTTGAATTGTAGTATATTGAACATGAAATATGTTAAATATCAAATTAGATTTTAACTGAAATAGTACTTGGTACTTCTCTTGTAGTAAAAAGAGGATAATGGAGGAGGGATTTATTTTTAAAATTAAAATAAAGTCTTATGTTTTTATATACAGTTTGTGGAATTATATTATGAAACATGGTGGTGATGATTTTGGTGATTCAGAGTCCTTGATACATTTTGTTTTGAAGTCTGTAACAGGGTAGATTCTCTTCAAGACTACGTTTCTTTTCTGAGCCAGGCTGATCCTTGCCTGGTTGCCTTTGTTGTGCACCTTTTGTTAACCTTTAAAGACAAAGTTCATAATATTTAAAAGGTATAGATTGTAAAATTAAAGATGACAAAATGAATTAATAAACATATTGTTTTTTACGATTATAATTTGTGCATTTTAATATTTTTTTGATACCAGGCATGATATGAGACTATTGGAGTTAAAAACGAGTTTTATCATTTGCATAGGATGCATAGGATGCATAGATGCATGGTATATATGAATATATGACGTTAACGGTATATAACATATATATATATATATATAATATATATAGGATGCATAGACTTATATAAGAAATATATACAAGTTTATATACGGCTGCATAGGATGCATAGGATGCATAGATGCATAGACTTGTATAAGAAATATATACAAGTTTATATACGGCTGCATAGGATGCATAGACTTATATAAGAAATATATACAAGTTTATATACGGCTGCATAGGATGCATAGG